CGAAGACAAGACAGCGCCTGGGTGACTGCAGCTAGGGGGACGGGCTATCTGGCGAAAAAAAACTAGGCGGCTACTCGTACATGCGCTTTTCAGTATGATTATGCTGGAATAATCGGCGTCATGTTCGGGCGTAGCTTACATCATTTTGTTAAGACTTAGTTTCCCAGTTTATTTTCATTTAGCAGAATATCCGCCATAACTGGAAATTAGCGGACTCACTGTCTAGGCTTATATTTATTCAGGCATGTGCGTTGCCCAAGGGAAGTGCAAATTGAAGTTGTGAGAGCAAGTAGAATCAAAGACAAGGGAAAATTTACTACGATCTCAAAGGAGGAAAAGTTATCCCTTCCGAGAGTAACGATTACATTTTCCTTTAGTATAAATGGGTGAAATGAACGCGAGGATTACAACAGTTTTCATTCTGTACCAGTGTCGGTCATTGTTCGTAAGAAGAGTAGAAAGAACTATACGGCAAAAGTTTTACTTCATCCCTGTTCAATGTTTGTGAAAAGCAACGTCTTGCCTAAAGTGACTAAGATCAACTTCGAAACGTTGTCTGGTGAAACTCAACCAAAGCGCTAAAATTATACTCTTTGTAAGTGCCCTTCTTCCGCCTTTGAGTATATCCGCTCTCTGACATTTCACGCTACCAATGACTCGATAAGCAGGACAAAGACTTTCTGCTCAGCTTGCGCGAGCTTGGTGGTTAATGGCCCTAAAAGCATATCTGGTCAGCATTAACGAGGAATTGGAAGTTGGGTTTGTAAAAGCAGATGCGCGGAACCAGCCAAAGTATCTCTACTGGTAAACATATCGAGTACTATATATGCATAAAAGACAACTGTCGTCGATCAGAGACGTTTCATGAACGTCGTATGAATAGATAAATTTACGTCAACACGTATTTCATAAATGGGTTTATGAGAAGTCCGTCAATCCGAGTTAATTTGACCCATTCTAAGCGTCCGATGGTTATTTACTTCAACGAGTTTTGTTTGTGCAATCCAAGCTGATCAGAACACAAAAATGCTATTAGGTGATAGGACATCTGAGCGAGGTTTACCGAAGAAGTTTACCAGAGATAATTCAAAATAAATTGGAACATCACTTCGATGAGACAGAGTTCCAAGGATTTGCGTGAACGTATGACACTCTACAAGGGAACGTAGCCAGTTGATAGCCTAACATGAGTATGAGGTCCAAAAAATCACTTACGTGATTCCTGTATGTGTTGCCATGGCCCATATTACCAGGAGAGTTATCCTCACTCGAGTCGGATTCTGATGAAATGCGATTCCTTGCTCTCGGTTGCCGCTCATACTCAGCGGCCTTTGGTGGTTCAAAACGAGCAGGCTCACGCCTGCTGCGATTTGAGCGTCTTATTCCATAGAGCTCCGGGTCACATTCAAAATCCTCGCGGAGCTAGTTAAAGAATGAAGCTGACATAAGTAAAGGCAAACGTGGTGCGTCTACTGCAAGGGTACTTATTTACCCCCCAGCAAAAGTTAAGTAAATTAAAAAAGCAAAAGCAGACCCTACGACCGAGATGCACAGCGTGTACCTCGCGAAGATTCTGCTTCCGGGATTTCTCTGTCTTCGAGACAGGGCGTTGACTAAAAGATGGCAGCGAATCACCATCCTCGCTTGAGCCTTGAACAGTGGGCTGTAGACAGTCATCGTAGTCGTCACTCCTGAATTAAAAAGTATATTTAAGCCATTAATGCACTATAGATTACGCTAAACAAAAAATATACAGGAACATTCAAAGTCCAATCTCCACCTGGGTCCCTGACATGGTCACACCAGGTATCTCGTAAAAGCACCACATATGAAGTAGGGAGAAATCACAACCGAGAGTTTTGTCAGACAAAAAGCGAAGTCAGATTACCACAACAACAAAGCAGAACCTATCGGGGGAACTGGTATTGGCCGAAAAAGAGGGACACCCGGCACTCAAAGTACCAATTTTCAGTCATTCTCAAGATCCAGAAACAGCAATACCTGGAATAGAGAACGAACCCGAGCGCGCAGTTTCACTCTTTAGGGAGTCTCATCTGCTATTTATAGAAAGAGACAGCTAGGAGCTCAGAGAATGTGCACGTTAGTTGACGGGTTTGGACATTTAAACGACTCTGGATGATTCCTAGTCGATTCGAGGATTAACCCACCGCTTGTGGTCGCTTCTGGCCAGAAGGGAAGCCACGATTGCAGTCTCCAGGACGTAGCTATACACAAAACGGACACAGAAAAATCAGGGCGGGCAGTTGTGAGTCGTAAGCAGGGGCTAGTTGTCAAGACCAACGTTCCCGATTGTTTCCAATGGAAAATCTACGTCATATGCCTCGAAGTAGCTCACACCTGCTCCGTCGTTGGCCGACTAAATACAGGTCACCGTTTCGAATTATTAGTGGCAAACATCTCTAGTGCCGCTTTCACTTGAACGCGTAAAAAAAACCCAAAGCAAACCCTTCGCGGTTTAGCATTCCCGCATCTCCTCCTCACTGCCAAAGTGGCGAAAGAACCTAAGGATTGGACCTTGCGTCGCGCCCACGTGCTCATTTGGCGTCAGCATGTGTCAGCTGTGGCCAACTTCAACTGCCTATCCTCCGGGTAGCGTCGGATAACGTTTTATCACGTGCACATACTACTGATCCCCAGAATTATATCACGATCTCAGTGTTGGTCCCATCCGTGTAAAAGTGCGAAGTCGCTACTCTATCACATTACACAGTACATTTTCCTCAACCATATTCTCCGGCAAAAACTGCCATCCGTCTCCAAAGCACACTTAATATGCTTCCCTGATGCTTGCCTCGATATTTTTACACAGAAGTAGGATCCTTTGTTGAGGCGGCGGCAAGGCCCCCAGCAA